GCATGTGGGACTCGGCCTCAGGATGGACGGAGAAGTGGTGCCTCGATGCGCACCCGGGATCCGAACCCGGGCCACCAGCATTGCAGCGCGCGCACTTAACCACCAAGCCACAGGCCCGGCCCTAAAATACTTTCTGGTCTCAAAAAAGAGTGAATGAATAATCTCCTTATAGAGCAAAAAGTTTAGTTTGACCCAACAGATGAATTGGTCATTGTAGCTTTGCAGCCCAAAGAAGCTCTAAGTAGTCCTGCTTGAAATATGGAATCAGGGGGCCAGCCTGTGGCTTGGCGGTTAAGTGGACGTGCTCCGCTATTGGCAGCCCAGTTTCAGATCCCGGTCGCGTGCCAACGCACCGCTTGTCAGGCCATGCTAAGGCAGCGTCCCACATACAGCAACTAGAAGGATGTGCAACTATGACATACAACTATCTACTGGGGCTTTGGGGAGAAAAAGGGGAAAAAGGGGAGGAGGATTGGCAATAGATGTTAGCTCAGGGCCGGTCTTCCTCAGCAAAAAGAGGAGGATTGGCATAGATGTTAGCTCAGGGCTGATCTTCCTCACAAAACAAAAAAGGAAATATGCAATCAGATGGCGGTTTAGGTGCAGTCCAGTTGGGCAATAACACCCGCTGTACCCTCCATCTCCAGAGCTCACATGAGGGACATCGTACTTGAACAGAGGTTTCTCCACCTCGGCTCCACTGACACTTTGGGCTAGATCATTCCTCCTGGTGGCGGCATCCCGTGCACTGCAGGCTTTCTAGCAGCATCCCTGGCCTCTGCTACTAAGTGCCAGCAGCATGACGGCCCAGTCACACAATCAAAAATGTCTCCGGATGTTGTCAAATGTCCCTTGGGGGGCAAAGTCACCCCCATTTGAGGGGTTTCGCATAGAGTGTCTGGCACGTAGTAGACACTTTGGAACATATTAACTTAGCCTCTTTTGTTGCCTCCAGCCTTCTTGGTTGTTGTTTGGTTTTTTTTGTTTTTAATGAAAATCCTTCTAAAATGTATTACAAGCTATCATGGTTCCTTGAATATAAAAAACATAATAAACCTCTTCTAATGGTTGTCATTATAAGTATCAGTTATTACATGGTACATGGTGCTATATTTTTTTTAACTGGGCTGTAGAACAGAACTCTTTTGTCCAGGAAGCCATTGTCTGGGTTTGGCAGGCTCTCACTTCTCTGTGCGTGAGCTTCTCTCAGCCATCCATCGCAGCTCTGCTTCTACTATGCTGTCTGCTGTCGGCTAAGAGAACCGAAGGTTGCTAGGGAAACCACATGTCCATATTGTTAAATCAGAATACTTTCATATCCACGCTCTGGTTGGTAGGCTTTGTTCCCAAGGCAGCTCTAATCCTCTCCTTCAGGAGTAGATGCTTAGGTTTTGAAATAGATAGTTTTTTACAGTTTTGAAGTCTTTTCAACATTGGTCTGCTCTTGGTTGTGTTTAAAGGTAGTGGTGTTCTACTTGTGTTTAAAGGCAGAAGATATTTAAAAACTGACTACTAGATAAATGGGGCATTACAGAGAAGTTGATAGGATGAAAGGGGTATTTTATGATATCTGCTATCACCTAGCATTAACGTCAGAGCCAAAGTGATAAACTTTGCTGTTTGTCAGCTTTACACTAATGATAATAAATCCCTCTGCCTGTGGGCCATGGTCCACAGAAGGTTGTCATTTCTGTATAAAGATGAAGTATCCAGTTTTCTTAGTTCTGTGGTGGAGTTTGGTTTTCCTTTGGGAGGATATCATCTCTTGTAAAGAAAAGCTTGGGTGAGAGTAGTAAGGGTAGATGGGGAAAGAAATGAGAGGAATTCACATGGAAAAAACTTAATCTTCAACACGGTGTCAAACATTTAGAATTTTATAAAAGGATTTGTTATTCTTACAAGTACTTTCAATCCAAACTGTTTTGCAGCCAAATTTGCCATGTACTGATAACGTAGCATTTGACATGGAAAGGCTCACCAGAACCCAAGCGGTTAACCGAAGATCAGCCCTGGGTGACCTTGGCAGCGACAGCTCCCTTGGCCTTGAGCCACTTCGAACTTCGGGGATCTCGCCTCTTCCTCAGGATGGGGAGCTCACGCCCAGAGCGGGGGAGATCAACATTGCAGTAACAAGTAAGTGGGCCCTGTGGCTGGGCGCAGGCAGATCTACTGCTTGTGTTTGGTGTGTGGTGACTGCTCCAGGGAGAGGTGAGGCAGTCACCAGAACAGTGACTTGGTCTGTAACCGAGAGAGCAGTGGGGACTTTTTTGTTAAAACAGATATTTGGAGTGATGAAACTTTCTTTACAATAAGGAGCTTGTGTATTTGTGTGTAATTATAATAGGAATAGCTGCCATTTGACGAGTAGTTGTTCAGAGGGTTGTCTTAGTAGCCGTCTATAAACCTGTTTTGAAATGGTTGCACTGCGAACGGGCGTGTGAAAGGGTTGTGCTGAGGTGTGACGCGGGGCGTTGGCAGCATCTCGGGTGTGTGGTATAACTGAGCACCTGTGTGCTCTAGTTCCCAGGCTGCAGGCAACCTAGTGAAAAAGTAATCCAGAATTTGAACCTAAAAACCCACAACTTTAGGAACAGTTGAGATGGCCTGTTGCTGCTCACTTTATTTTGCACTTTTTATGAAATTTGGTATCTTGGCACTTAGCTCTTTGGTATAATTATACACTAGGTGGGAGAAAAGCCAAAGAGTAATCTGCCTTAAAAAATGCTCTGGGCTAGTTATGAATGTCATGGTTGTTGAACTGTTGATGAGAAGAGAAGAAACGCTCCGAGTGTTTTGATGGCCATCCCTCAGAACGGTGTGAGTGGGCTGACAGGCGTGTGTGTGGGCCCTGTGGGCATAACCCCGTAACAAGCCAGTTGTTTTCTTCAGTTCCATTCTTTACGTGTTATTTTCGTCTAACAACCTTCACCCCATCTTCCTGTCACCACTCTGGTGCTGCCTCTTCCAGTACATGCTGTCGCTTGCCTGTAACTTGTAGCCCAAAGCCTCATGGGACTCGCCTAACTCAGGGATCCGTCAAAGGGGTAACACTGTTACAGAAGATGTTTCCCAGCATACAAAAAGACTCGTGTGGTCTGTTCAGTTGAAGTATCTGTGTATTTAACCAACCAAAAAGTATTATTAGAAAATGATTTCCCAGGTTTTAGCCTACCATTTGCCCAAACTCAAGGAGACGTCATTCAGTTATAAAATAAGTAAAGCTATTCTTTGATATAGTCTGACTCATTTCTTAGCATTTCCCAATGATTTATTTTAAAAGAATTTCATGTTTTCCTGCTTTGGCATTTAGGTTTTATGGTCTAGATTTTTAGAGTTGGTCTAGTAGTAATAAAGGAGATCAAGGTTGGTTGTGTATTACTGAGTGTTTGTAGGTCCTTCATTGATAGACATTCATTGAGCACCTATGACTACATTATGTAGTGACCCTATTATATTTCATATGGAAATGTCCTTTCAAAATCTTATGTTTTAATGATAAAAAATACTACTTCATGTAGCAAATTACTCACCTTTAGCAGAATTTACACGTTAATAAATGAAATTCATGTAGTTGAATTAGACCAAAGCTACCTCTGCTTTTCCCTCAAAGCCCTGTAGTGCCATAGCAACTACAGTGCATTCAGCCAGCATCCACTGTGTGCCAGGCACTGTGCTAATACACGCAGGGAGGACAGAGGCAACCAGACCCCGGCTGCAGTGGATGGCTGCTAAAATACCCCTGGGCCCAGTGGGTATTTACTTGATGGTGTTTACTTCTTTTTGGTTACTAGTTTTTATAACTGAAATGCCACAAATATGTGGATGGTATATTCAAAATTTGGAAACATAGATATAATTGAAGTTCTAAAAGTTAGTCTGCTTATCATATATAAAAAGTCTGAAAGAAAAAAAGAAGAAAGAATGCTGTATTGAGCTTCTTGATATTGATGACCAGTTCATTAATTTTTTTAAATGCCAGTATATGTTTTTCTGAACTTAAAATATATGTGAGTAAAAATGGTGGCTATTGTATGGATTCTTGAATGTTCATTTTGACTTAAATAAAAACCTTATAAACTCACTGTACCAATGAGAAATTTGTAATCCAAGAAGCAGTAGCTGCACTCTTACCCCAGAAAGGAGGAGTTTGCAAAGCGCTTTAATAATATGAACCAAGGCGGGCAGAGAAGTGCTCGTAGAATCACTCAGCATCCTGGAATCCTGAAGAGCAGCTCTTCTTAACCTTTTGGAGATTTCCACCTTTAAAGTCCAATGAAAGTATAATAACCTTTTTCTAGAAACATTCCTTGGCACACACAGTTTTGCATAGTTGTAGGATTCATGGAACCCAGGCTGAGAAACACCCATGTTACACTCAGGTTTTGCACATAAACATTTGGCATTCGAAGTATAAATTTTTTCTCTCTGCCTTATTGCAGATATATAGGGAATTTTATTGTGTAACACTTTGTTACACCAGCCTTAGTTAGTCTATACTCTAGGAAATGGTTTATAGTTAAGACTTTTTAGAAAGTCAGATGGGTTCTCAGAGGTTATTTTTGAGGTTCTCAGTAAACATTGTCTTTGGAATGTTACCGTGACAATACAGACTTTGAAAAGTTATGGGAAAATACTAACTGACCTCCTAGATCTAGAAAGAGACTAGATAAAAACCCTTAGCATTCTGTGTACCAGAGATTTTTCAACTCTTTGATGGGCCAAGTACCTTGTGAGTCACCCATCCTTCCTACTTCTGCTTGACAAAGCTGGAACAGCCAGTGCTGCTTCCCAGCAGTGCGGTTGTGAAGGGCGGTCCTTTCCAGGAGACACCAATAAGATGTCCTTTTAAAATAAAGACTGTAAGTAAGCCCATGCATAAGAGAAAAGAATGTACATGTGAGTGCCATGGAAGGCCAGCCTGTGGACTGCTTGGAGTACCCACAGACCTTTGGGAACCACTACTCCATATTTCTAAGCCTTTCTCTAAGAATGAGTGACACAGCCATGCAGAAGTGACAGATTGAAGAGGGAAAGGTTATAAGTATGGCTAGTCCACTTTACTGTCATTTAAATTAACAATTAAAAAACCTACCTCCATGTGCAATTTTACATACATATTGTACTACACACTTTTTGGTGGCCACACTCCTCACAAACCTTAGGACCTTGACTGGAAGAAACGTTTGGGCCAAGCCTTCCTTTCTCCCTTGCAGCTTTCACCACTATTTCCACTAACCTTCTCCAGTTAGTAGCTCTGTGGCAAACCTCCTGCTTCACTTCCTTGGGCCAGTCTTGGCTTACACCTCCGCTGACGTCTGCTTCGTGTCATTTGAGGGAAGTGTTGACATCGATTTGACTTAAAGCCTTCTCCCCAGAGTGATTTCCTCCCTTTCCTTTGTCAACAGAAGAGTGGTTTATTATTGCCAGTTTTGGCCTCCTCAGTGCCCTCACGCTCTGCTACATGATCATCAGAGCCACAGCTAGCTTGAATGCTAATGAGTAAGTAACAAATTATTTTTTGGATTGCATGTGCCAGATGATCCCAAGAAAATGTGTAGAGTAATTTTCATAAAGATGGTGAGAATTAGCTTCCACCAGTTTCATACTGATCCTGATGGGATCATACCTAGCAAAATAATTTATTTCACCAACATATATTTTTAATCAGTAACACAGATTGGGAGTTCACCTTGCTCAGCAACAACAGGTCACTTGAGAAAAGATCTAGGGGCTTTCCTTAGCCAGAAGCTTAGAGTGAATCACCAATGTAATGCAACTGCCAAGGGAACCAGTAGAGTTCTAGGATGTGAAGAATGTCCATGTCCTGATCATTGACAGGAGTCCCCCTTCACTGGGTGCTCATCACACTTTACCTGGAGTCTTAGACACTTAGCTTTTGGCGGAATGTAGGCACTTGGGCCTGTGGTCAAGGGACAGTGACTTGGATGTTTAGCCCACAAGGAAGAAGCATTCAGGAAGACCTGCTGTTTCCACATATTAGGAAGATTGTTGGGGGAAAAGAGAATCAGTGTAAAACTATATTTCCATGGGGCAAAATGAGGACAAAAGGGGAAGTTACAGGAAGACAAGTTTCACCTCAGTAAAAGGAAGAACATCTGTAGCGAGGCTGCTTACCAGGGAGGGGGTCTGCCGTGGGAGTGGGAGTAAGCAGGGCTGGGAAGACAGGCAGAAGCCGGATGTTACCGTCAGGGCTGCTGTAGGTAGGAGGTTTTTCAGAGGATGGAAAATTGGGCCAGATGACTGTTAAGGTTCATTTTAATCCAGTGATTTTCTAAGAGTAGCTTTCCACAGCAGTAAGATATAGAAAAGATTTTTTGGTTTTATTTGTTGTATTTTAAATTTGGGACATTTACTGTAGGATATTATTCAGTCCTTTCTTTTACCAGTATTCGTGAAAACTAATTTGAGATGAAAGCAACCCTGGGACACTGCCCAAATTTGAACCTAAATGGGTACAGGTGGAATTCCTGTGCTCTCCATATTCAGTTATGTCCTGGCGTTTTAATTGATTAATAATAACCAACCAAGCTCATGTAATTGGTTTCATTGAATGCCTGTTGTCCAGCTGTAGAAACAATGGGCAAGTAACCTCCACTTCTAATGACTTGGTTTTATTCCCTCTTACCTGATCTGTCGGCTAGATACTTGTTAAGAAGTGCCCTTTGGCATCCCTGACCTGTTACCTGTTGGGAGGATGTCATGGTCAGTTGGCATTCTTCAGCCCTCATCCAGCACGTCTACAACTAGCTGCTTCTGTTGAGCCCACCTGATGCGGTTTTACTTCACCTAGCACAGTGTTAACTGCTCAGGTTCTAGAGTCAGACGTACCTGGATTTAACTCCCTGCTCCTCCATTGTTTGCTTATGAGACCTGGGCAGCTTTATTGATCTGAGCTCATTCTAGTCATCCACAAGACAGGGATAATGGTAGGAGTACGTCGTAGGGGTGTTGTGAGAATTAGCGCATAAAGTGCTTAGCACGGTGCCTGGTACATAGTAAGTGCTTAATAAATGTCAGCCAACAAGTCTGCTGAGATCCCTTCAGAGTCCTGTGAGTAAGATGGCCGTCTGCCTTCATCATTTGGCAAATGAATTTAATTTTCTTCCATGAAATAGAAAACAGATTCATAGGAGCTCTGTGAGTGCCTATGATTCAAACCTCAATTCGGGGGGAAATATTTATTTTGCCTACGATCACCTCTTTTGCTTACTCCCATACTGACCCATCAGGCTAGATGACTATGTGAGCCCACTTCTTAAAATCTCCACAAATGAGCAAAAACCAATCACAACGAGTAGCAGCCCCCTTGGCACTTTCAGAGACCTATTAAGTAATTTAGTGGTCGCCTTGCTGCCACTCAGAATCTGCAGATGCTCAGTTCATGTATCAGATATTTTAGAGAATGCTCAGTAGACATGTTACCTGTTAGAAATCAAAGTAATATTTCAGTTCCATGCATAAATGCCTGCATGACTTAGATCTAAGTCATAGATCTTAGATCCATGTCTTAGTCCAACCCTTCTCCCATTGGCCTTCATGGAAGGTTGATACTGCAGTTGTTCATTTGATATTATTTCTGTGCCTTCAGTCGAAACCGCTCTGAAGGACAATTTTCATGATCCCATTTAGAGAGAGAGAAAGTGTGTGTGTGTGTGTGTGTGTGTGTGTGTGTGTGTACACATATGGATGCATGAAAGGATGGTCACCAAAATATTAATGGTGATTATCTTAATTTTGTAGAATTTTGGGTGATTTTTTTTTTCTATTGTGCTTTTGTGTGTTGAGTTTTTTTTATAACTTCAATTACTTAATTTTTTTAAAGGCTGTTTTAATTGTAGGGAATGAAAGAAAGATAATAGTCAACTCTTACTCAAGATCTCTTTCCCAAAAACATTGATGAAAAATTCCTATGTGATTTTAATTCCAGAGAAATGTTTATTTTAGCAAAAAATTTAATTATTCTTCATTAATGAATTCTTTGAAATCTATCTTATTTCCCTTTTTGGCTTTACCAAAAACTTACAGCCAAAATGAGATCGCCTTTTAAATTTAATTGCTCTGTTTTAATTTTCTAGGTAACCTCATCCATTTGTAAGATAGTCTTCTATATAAATAGATTCCGTCTTTTCACATGTTAGTGATTTGTCTAGAAAGTAAACTTCACGTCTGCGCACACTGCCTACTATTATAGTTTACGTTTCTGACAGTTAACACTGAACTAGTATAGTGTGATTTCAGCAAGACCTTGACCCACTGTAGCCGCTGGTGAGACCCTCTGGGTAAGATGAAGCAGTATAGGCCAGAGTAAGAGCAAGCATGTGGAACTCAGGTGGGCCCAGGCCTCCGCGCAGTGTGTGGATTGCTGCCCCGCTAGGGGTGAAAGCACTCCTCCGCCCGCCCCCCCCCCCCCCCCCCACGCTCTGCACCTCCATCCCGGGCGTGATGCCGTCGGCTCAACTCAGAAGCCAGTCAGAAGTCCACGTGTCTGGAGTCACTCCCTTTCTATTGTGATGAAATACTATTGAAGTACTCAACCATGACTAATTGTGCTTAAATTTTTTTAACACACACAAATCTAATGAATTTTGAGACTGCAGATATAAACAGGATAGTAGTCAAAGACGCAAATAAGTGCAAGGTAAATATATTTATACATATTAGCTTCTTATACCTCTATTTCTTAGTACCTAAAGCAAAGTTATTAAACTTCAATTCCCAAAGGAGGTTTTCTGCTCTACTTTATTATACAAATAAACTTTGTTAAATCCCAGCACTTACCAGCTTATGTTTGTGTCAATCTGTTTTTCCCTTAACATAAGGAAAGTATATATTTTCATTGTTGTCTTTAGTTGAGGAAAAAGTTATAAGATGCGTGGGTGATGTAGGAGAGACGTTGAGTGGCATGGCAGGTTCAGCTAGCTGTCCTCTACAACCCTGTCTCAGTTCCTAGATTCTGATTCATAGATATCATGTCCTAAGATTTGCAGAGGAGAGTAGCCCAAATGTTCAAGATTCAGAACAGTCTCAGTGGGAGGAAATGAATTTGATGTGGTTAACATGATGAAATAAATGAAACAAATGTGAAATCCTGAGGCATAACCCAAGACCAAGAAGCCCTGGCTCTGCAGCAGGTCAGGAGGCTTCAGTTGTGACCACCAGTGTTCCTCGTGAGCTGTCCTCCTCTGAGGTGTAGTGGTAGAAATGTATAGACCATATCAAAGGAATTGATGTTTCTATTTACTCTCTACTCAGTATTTCTGAATTGTTCTGCTCAGACTGTTGAAGAGGACCATTGACGTATCTCAATATAAAAGGGTCTGGAAACATAATCATTTGATGTCTTGGGGATGCTTAGCTTAGAAAAGAGGAGACTGAGGTGATGTGAGAGGTGTCTCCAGGTATTTGAAGGACTCCCAAAGATGAGAATGGCTATTGTTTATCGGGTGCCTACCAAGAACTTACTCCTGTGTTGGGCTATGTCGCTACCCACACTGCCGCATTTAATACTCATAGTAGTCCCGTGATGCCTAACCAGTGCATACAGAGGGTGATACTGACCGTGTAGTTCTGGAGCTCCAGAGACATCTATAGGGAGGTATATTTCCACTTAAGGTAGGAAAGAACGTTCTGCCAGTCAGAATTGTCCGTCCATGACATAGGATGTCTTGAAAGCTAGTGAGCTTACCAGGACCTGCTTATTCAGGCAGAAGCTACAAGGCTGGAGCTGTTCAGAGGCAGATCCTGCGTCAGGTGGAAGTCTAAGACTTCTTCCAGTTGTGAGTCCTTCTTGAATTGTCTGTCCTAGGTGGTCCCTTCCTAGGAGAGATCAGAGCCCGAGGAGAGGAGTTGGGTTCTCTGCTGGCTGCCTTTTTTAGAACCTTAAGTATCAAAAGCAGTGTTTTTTAAATTTTACCATCTCTCACCCTAAGAAATACATTTTGCATTGTGACCCAGTGCTCTCACAGGTATAGCTGAAACAGAAGTTTCATGTTTTCCTTACTACATGTGGTCTTCACTGATCTGTTCTTCTCCGTACTTTTGTTGTTGTTGTTAATGCTAGTCATGAGCTCCTGCATTGAGTTTACAATCCATTAATAGATCGCAGCCTAAGGTTTGAGAAACACTGATCGAAAAAATTTTGAATTTCTGGTTCTCAATCTAATACCTTTTGCTCACACTAACACCTGTCTTTGATTGTGTTTTATTTTCCTGAGACAGCCTTTCTTGGAGCTCTGCCAGCAGAGATTTTAGTTTGCTCCCAGTTTGATAATGAATCCTCTTAGTATTTACTTCTCCTTTTAGCCACTCTGAGCTGACATTTGTACACAGAAGGGTCACCTGGGGCACAGAGGCTCTCAGTGACCCCCGAGAAAGGCCGTAGGAAGAAAGGCATGGGATCCATGCCGAGGATTTCTGGTTCCAGCTCTTTCCTTTACACTGCTTGTCTTGGACTTCTCCAGGGAGCCATTGCAGGCCTCCAAATACTGTGGCTAAAGAAGGAAAATTTGGTTTCCTAAAAACATGAGAACAGAGGATTAGAGGTTGCAGGGACCTTTGATTGGACTTCTGTACTGTCTTTGGCAGTGGTCATTTTTTTATTTTTCAGAAGTACCTTTAATGTTATGGCTGCATTAGTTGTTTATAATTGCTTAGAAAGGCAGCAAAATAAAGTAACTTTAAAAATCTTATTTCACCCATTAATATATTGTAAAAATATATATTAGATGTATATTAGATGCAGAAATTATATCTAATATCCAGTTTTCTGAGGGAAACAATGTGTTATCTTAAATATAAACTACAGTAAAGTGTAGAGCTTTATGTGAATGGCATCGTTTAGGTCTCATGTCCCCCGCGCTCTCTAGGCTCCAGGCCCTGGCCTGCCAGGAGCACTGGGGAGGAAGGGGCTGTACTGTGCAGTGCGCTGCATGTACATGGAAGGGATGGGAGAGCGAGGCGGTGGTGCCTGTGGACCAAGCACAGTGTGAAAGAGCACAGCCACTCAGTATCACAGACACCGGAACTGCCACTTTTGCCTTGGGGCAGTTGAGAAGGGCTTCCTGGAGGGAGTGACTTCGACACCAGGCTGGGCGTAATTAGAGCGTAAAGTGAGGAAAAAGCAGAGCAGGTTCAGGGAGTGGTGTGGTTTGATGTGTCTCCTGTCGGTAGTGATGGCAGTGGGCAACTACAGAATTTGGACTTGATGCTTGTAAACAGTGGGTAAGGTCTCAGGCTTTCAGGTAGATACGGTAGGTGGCAATAGAGAGGTGCAAGAGGAAGTCGAGGCGATGGGGAGGAGAGGAAATCAAACGATGCTGGAGAGCCCTGTGATCGCAGCAGAGGGTCTGACATCTGGGTCTGGAACGCAGGTGACAGAGAAGAGAGCAGGAGTGAAGGTTTGGAAACTGTGGAAGTGAACCAGACTATACAGGGGTTCAGGAAACCAGGGTGTCCCGTGGGGCCAGGCTGCAGAGGGGTAGCGTTAGCCTGGGGGCAGCGCAGGAAACCTTGAAAGACTTTCAAGTACCTTCAGGCACCTGATTTGGACACACACACACAAAATCTGGGGAATTCCTTTAGAGCCATATAACCCTGGAAGTGTCTACTCTTCAAATCTTATTTCAGAGTAAATAATGACATTGTTGTGTGAGGTATGAAGGGGGAGCATATTTTAAAGACAACAGCTACAGATTTCAGGACACTCAGCATTTAGAACATGTATTCAAACCAGGAAAAGTTGTAAATTGTATAATTGTCCTTCCTTTTTTAAACAAGATACTGTTAGCCTGTACTTTTCCCTGCATTCCTTTTGGAAGTCCTAACACACTTCAAAGGTGACTGAGCCACTTGACCACAGATCTGAAGCTGCTGAGTTCAGGAAAGTGCTAATGGCTTATTGGCTTTAACCAGGTAGGGCTGGGAAATGGTTGGGGACAGCCCCAGGCCACCCTTCATGTAGGATCATTTTCTCTGTTATTTTAAAACCTCGACAACTACCCTTTAACTAATTCTTGACTTGTCTTTTCTCCTTTTATTCCATAGGGTAGAATGGTTTTGAAGAAGAAAAAAACTGCTTTCTGACTGATTGCCTTGAAGGAAAAAAGAACCTATTTTTGTGCATCATTTACCAATCATGCCACACAAGCGTTTATTTTTAGTACATTTTATTTTTTCATAAAATTGCTAATGCCAAAGCTTTGTATTAAAATAAATGAATAATAAAATAAAAAACACTGTGCTGTTGAGTATTATTCGTCCACTTATGTTTGGAAGGCTGATTTGGAAGTCACACACCCAAATTTCATTTCTCTGTGTTTCAGAGACAGAACATGCTCATGACTCCCCACTGGGAGAGATAGTGATGCTGTGTCTGTTAGTGTTTTCACGTTAGCTCCTGCTGTGCCCAAATAGGACCAAGCATGGGGACATCCTTTGTGGTAGTGCCCCCTGGGCCCTTAGTTGAGTTATTTCATTTTATTTTCTTCCAGGTCGCCATTCACTCTCTGATAATTCCTTGTTTCTTTGTTTGTGGTTGTGCTGCCTCCAGCAGAATAGCAGCTCCACAGCAGCAGGGACATTTAACTGTGCACTTGCCATGTACCCCTGTGCCTAGAGTGCTTTGCACATAGTTAGTGCTCAATAAGTATTTGTAGGAAGAAAGAAAATGTTTCCAAAGTACATACTGATTTGTAGTAAATTATATTTGTCCCAGATGTTTTACCTAGTTTATACAGCATTCTCCTAAAAACAGCAAAATCTAAAAAGTTGGATGAGAGCAATTTACATGTGTAAATGAAATATTTTTGCTTTATTGATGAGGAAGATGTTGAAATACTTTATATCATATTGAATCATATACTCGAAGGGTTATTAGTATGTGTAAAAGTTTTGAGCAGTGAATTCTCCACCTTCCACCTCAGCATACCTGAGGGATGAGAACATGCTCCCATTAATAATGGGTTCCCTACAGCAGTCAGACTCAAATCAGTAGGGAGTGGAGGTTTTTTCTTTTTCTTTTTTATTGAGATATAATTCACATGCTGTAAAATTGACCCTTTTAAAGGGTAAACCATTTTAGTGATTTTTAGTATATTCACAAGGTTGTGCAACCATCACAACGAATTCCAGAACATTTTCATCACCCAAAAAAGAATTTTCATCATTCATTAACAGTAACCTCTCACCCCTCCCATCCCCCTGTCAGCCTGGAGACCACTAATCTACTTCTTGTCTCTTTAGATTTGCCTATTCTGGACATTTCATATAAATGAAATCATACAATATGTGGACTTTTGTGACTAGCTTCTTTCACTTAATATAATGTTTCAAGGTTCATCCATGGTGTAGCATGTATCAGTACTTCATTCATTTTTGTGGCTGAATAATATTCTGTTGTATGGATATACCACGTTTTGTTCACCTGTTCATCCATTATTGGATGTTTCGGTTGTTTCCACCTTTTGGCTGTTATGAATAATGCTGCTGTGAACATTTGTGTACAAGTTTTTGTGTGGACATATTTTTCCAGTTCTCTTGGGTTTATCCCTAGGAATGGAATTGCTGGGTCATATGATAACTCTGTTTAACTTGTTGAAAAACTGCCAAACTGTTCTCCAAAGCAGCTGCACAATATCACATTCCTACCAGCAATGTACAAAGGCTCCAGTTTCTCTACATCCTCACCAGTGTTTATTATTTTCCCTTTTTAAAAACTTATAGCCATTTCTAGTGAGTGTGAAATGGCACCTCCTCGTTTTTTTGATTCGCATTTCCCCAGTGACTAATGATGTTGAGCAGCTTTTCATGTGCTTGTTGGCTGCTTGTATACCTTCTTTAGAGAAACATCTGTTCAAGTTGTTTTCCCAGTTTTTAATTGGATTATTTGTCTTTGTTGTTGATTTGTAAGAGTTCTTTATATATTCTAGATACTAAGCCCTTATCAGATATATAATTTGCAAATATCTTCTCCCATTCTAAAAGTTATCTGTTCACTTTCTTGATAGTGTCTTTTGAAGCACAAGTTTTTAATTTTGATGGAGTCCAATTTGTCTATTTTTTTCTTTGGTTTGTGTTTTAGATGTCATATCTAAGAAACCATTGCTTAACTGAAGATCACAAAAACTTGCAAGAGTTTTATAGTTTTAGTTCTTATATTTAGGTTTTTGATCAATTTGAGTTAATATTGTATATGGTGTGAGGTAGGGGTCCAACTTCATTCTTTTGCATGTGGGTATCTATTTGTCCCAGTAACATTTGTTGAAGAGATTATTCTTTCCCCCATTGAGTGGCCTTGGCACCCTTGTCAAAAGTCAGTTAAACACAATATGTGAGTTTATTTCTAGATTCTCAATTCTATTCCATTGATCTCTTTGTCCTTGTGCCAGTATCACATAATATTGATCATTGTTGCTTTGTAGTAAGTTTTGAAGAAATTTCTTTTGTTGTTGTTGTTTTGAGGAAGATTGGCTCTGAGCTAACATCTGTTGCCAATCTTCCTCTTTTTATTTTTTCTCCCCAAAGCCCCAGTACATAGTTATATATCCTAGTTGTAGGTCCTTCTAGTTCTTTTATGGGGGATGCTGCCTTAGCATGGCTTTATGAGCGGTGCGCAGGTCCACACCCAGGATCCAAACCGGCAAACCCCGGGCTGCCAAAGCAGAACACACAAACTTAACCACTGTGCCATGGGGCTGGCCCATGTAGTAAGTTTTGAAATTGGGAAGTGTGGGTCCTCCAACTTTGTTATTTTTCAAGATGGTTTTGGCTATTCAGGGTCCCTTTCATTTCCACGTGAATTTTAGGGTCAGTTTCTCAATCTTTGTAAAAAAGTTAGCTGGTATTTTGGTAGGGATTATGTTGCATCTGCAGATCATTTTAGGTAGTAATGTCATCTTGACAATATTAAGTCTTCCAATCCGAGAGCAAGGAATGTCTTTCCATTTATTTATTTAATTTCTATAGAAATATGATTGATTTTTGTACATTGATCGTTTATCCTTGCAAGCTTGCTGAACTCATTTACTAGCTTGAGTAGTTTTTTAGTGGATACCATAGTATTTTCTATATACAAAATTGTGTCATCTGCAAATAGAGATAGTTTTACTTCTTCCTTTCCAATCTGGATGCCTTTTATTTCATTTACTTGCTTAATTGCCCCTGGCTAGAACCTCCATTAATGGAATGTTGAATAGAAGTGGTGCAAGCAGACATCCATGTCTTCTTCCTCCTAATGTTCGGGGAAAAGCTTTTCAGTTTATCCCATTGAGTATGATCTTAGCTGTGAGATTTTCATAGATGCCCTTTATCAGCTTGAAAAAGTACCCTTCTATTCCTAGCTTGTTGAGTGTTTTTATCATGAAAGAGTTTTGGGGCCGGCCCCGTGGCTTAGCGGTTAAGTGCGCGCGCTCTGCTACTGGCGGCCCGGGTTCAGATCCTGGGCGCGCACGACGCACCGCTTCTCCGGCCATGCTGAGGCCGCGTCCCACATACAGCAACTACAAGGATGTGCAACTATGACATACAACTATCTACTGGGGCTTTGGGGGGAAAAAAAAGGAGGAGGATTGGCAATAGATGTTAGCTCAGAGCCTGTCTTCCTCAGCAAAAAGTGGAGGATTAACATGGATGTTAGCTCAGGGCTGATCTCCCTCAAAAAAAAAAAGAGTTTTGGATTTTGTCAAATGCTTTTTGTGTGCCTATTATGATGATCATGTGGTTTTTGTCCTTGATTCTGTTAGTATAGTATATTACATTGATTTGCGTATACTTTATTTGGGTAACTTTACATTCCTGGGATAAATCCCAATTGGTCATAATGGGATGATGTTTTTATTTGTTGCAGGATTTGGTTTGCTAGTATTTTGTGGAGGACTTTTGCATCTATATTCATAAGGGATATTGGTCTGTGATTTTCTTTTCTTGTGATGTCTTTCTCTGGCTTTGGAATCAGTGTAATGCTGGCCTCATAGAATGAGTTATGAAGTGTTTCCTCCTCTTCTGTTTTTTGAAAGAGTTTGAGAAGGATTGGTGTTAGTAATTGGTAGAATTCACCAGTGAAGCCATTTGGTCTTGGACTTCTCTTTGTGGGAAGTTTTTTGATTACTGACTCACTCTCTTGTTATAGGTCTATTCAGATTTTCTGTTTCTAGTTAAGTCAATTTCGGTAGTTTGTTTCTCTCTAGGAATTTGTTCATTTCATCTAGGTTATCTCATTTGTTGGCACATGATTTTCCATAAGATTCCCTTATTTATAATCCTTTTTATTTCTGCAGTGTCGGTAGTAATGTCCCCTCTTTCATTCCTGATTTTAGTAATTTGAGGCATCATTCTTTCTTGCCTGGTCAATCTAGCTAAAGGTTTGTAAATTTTGACCTTTTCAAAGAATGAACTTTTGGTTTGTCTGTTTTTCTATTCTCTATTTCATTAATTTTCACTCAGATCTTTATTTTCTTCCTTCTGCTTGCTTTGGGTCCAGTTTTTTCTTCTTTTTCTCTTTTCTTAAAGTAGAAGATTAGGTTATTGATTTCAGATTTTTCTCTTTTTTTAATATAAGCATTTACAGCTATAAATTTCCTTCTAAGTGCACTTTTGCCCATCTATAAGTTTTGGTATGTTGTAGTTTTTATATTATTAAAGTATTTTCTAGTTTCCCCTATGATTTCTCTTTTGTCCCATTGGTTATTTAGGCATTTGTTGTTTAAATATCACGTATTTGTGAATTTCCCAAATTTCCTTGTTACAGATTTCTAATTTCATTCCATTGTGGTTGGAGAACATACTTGGTATGATTTCAGTCATTTTAAATATCTTGAGGCTGGTTTTCCGACCTAACATGATCTGTCCTGGAGAATGTTCCATGTGCACTTGACAGTGTGTAGGTTTTGCTGCTATTTAGTGGAGTGCTCTGAGGATGTCTGTTAGGTCTGGTTGGGTAATAGTGTTGTTCAGATCTTCTCGTTTCTTGTTTGTCTTCTATCTAGTTCTGTTCATTATTGAAAGTGAGGTATTGAAGGCTCCAGTGATTATTGTTGAATTGTCTTTTTCTCCCTTCGATTGTGTCAGTTTTTGCTTCATGTATTTTGGGGCTCTGTTGTTAGGTGCATGTGAGGTTAAAGGATTTTTAAAGGCTGCAGAAGTTATTCATTATGCC